ATATACATGCACCATAGTTTGTAATTTGAAAACAATCATCGTTACTTTTATATAGTGTTTACATAGGATCAAAACTAATAAATTTGCACGTTATTCTAAATTCATTCATCACTGAAAATAATATTTGGATGTTATATTATTCAAATGTAATTGCTTTTAACTTCATATACCCTGTATAATAATTTTACATTCACTACTATCTTGGTTGAACTACATATGAGCTAATTTATATTAAAGATTACATTATATATCTATTATAAGCATGCACTGATATTTCGACTATTAATATCTCTAAGCAAACTGATCTAAAAATTTGTTAGTGCTGTGTGTGTGTGTGTATATTTATGATTAAAGAAAATTATAATTAAATATAGCTTTGTAATGAAACGTACATAAAAATAACATAAAATAGGGACATAAGTTTCTGACAGTTTTATATCTACTTCTTGACATTTCGAAATTTATTAAATTAAATATGAGCTCTAGAAAACATAAGTTTCTCCACATTTATATGTTAAAAATTCATTAAATATTTATGAATTACCTAAATTAATATTTAAATATTATTCTAGATGTAAAAACGAATGAAGTTTTAAGCAATTTCTGTTCAAGTAGTTCGTAATTGGATACTTTATATGAACATATTTTAGTAATGTCAAAGTATTGATAGGTCGGGATCGCCTGTATATCATCTGTCATCATAATATAGGCATATATTAATATCTAAGTGATATATTTTGTTCAATTTATAGAATTTAGAACAGAAACTTATACAGTAGAACTACCACTTCCCACTAACAGTGGACCCCAATCTTAAATTTTTGAACATTTAACATGAATTTTTAAGATAATAAACTAGAGGAAATTTCAATTTGTAATTCTTNTTTCAACAGTAAACGAAATAAATATTGAAGAAATTAATGTATCAAGTATTTTTATTCGAAAGAAATTAATGTATCATGCTGGATGATACTGTTAAGTATTATATGATTCTCCTTGCATTCATATAAAAATTCTCTGAAAGAAAATATAGTAATATCATAAAATTAGAAGAATTAACAATGTGTAAAAGTTTAGATATATTTACATTCTGTAAAATAGCTGTAATTGATTGGCTGGTAGTATTTTTTTTTTATATATATAAATATATAAAAATTATATTCATATAAACATGTCATATGTTTTTACAGAATGAAATGATGATGAACAGTCAGTAAATTTTTCTATGCAAATGATGTTATCCATAGAAATAAATCAACTACTGGCAGGTTTGGATAACATTAATGAAAGAAATCATTTTAACAAATATATCCAATTTAGTAGATAAAAACAAATCTATACAATGTTTGTACTGATATGGAATGTTACCAAATACTAAAATATATATATATATATGAATAATAAGATGAAAATGACTCGGCACCCTAACTATCACAATGGCAAATGTTGAGATATGAGAAATATTTGAAAAACACATTAAAAATGATAAATGCTAGATATGTTCTTGGATCCTTTCTGATCTGATATATTATGTTAATAGGTTAAAATCTAAACAATTATTATTAAATATAAACAATTAAAATATCAAAATTATATCTTCTACTGAATTTGCTTCTATTTAAAATAAAGCAAATGTGACCTCAGTTATTATGCTACTAAATTCTATATTGCCAGATAAATCTATTAATAAACCCATGATATTGGCACCCATTGAGGCTCTGTACTCAAGGCATCGATGGTATCCTTTAATTGTTCAAATGTCTTGTCGAAACTGTCATTGACAAGATAACTGTCAAAATATTTTTCATAAGCACGCTGAAGTCGAGCACTTTCCTCTATGGTTTTTTTCAAGTCTTCATCCTGAAATAAATCAAAATTTTATTTATTGAATTTTACAAACATACTTTTTTAAATTAAACTGTATTTAAACTTTGAAAAAATTTATAATTATAGACTATTTCATCTCAAATATAGAACTAATTTCAAAAGTCTCAAATTTTTCTTAGAACTAAAACATGTTGAAAACAAATTTTTCAGAAGTCACTACATACTTACACAGTAATATTTTATAACTTATTGTTTTTCAAATTTTGTACCTCATCTTTCAGAATGTCATTTTTTTTATTTTTTTATAATTAAAAAACAGATCATCATCTTCATCTTTATAAAATGATTAGGAGTCTCTTATTATATCATGCACATAGAGACAAACCAAATGAGTAATGTATCAGATAGCACAATATAACTAATGTATCCATCCACCTGTTTTGTTTTATTTTTAATCTCCATACTGACTTGCTTTCTCAGAAGGAATTATATTTCATAGAATGGTAGTTTCAAGGTCAATAATTGGAATAAGGTAATATTTCTTTGCCAGTAGAAATTCAATGTCAATCTTTGTATTTTTTTTTTGACATTATTGACTAAAGTGCTTTTATAAATGTGGTATATATGCTGGAAAACAGTGTGATATATCTGTATGAGTGATATAATGAGGGGATAATGTATAATAAAATCATGAAATAAAAACTTCTAAATAGCAAAATATAACAATATGAATGAAAATATGTTTATCACAACATAAACATGAAGATTAGAAAATTAGAAATTTAAAAGAGTAAACACTTGAAAAGTTTTGGACTTTTTCTGATTTGATATGTTATAATGTTTTCTCATTATACATAGCAATAAAATAGCAATCCTTTTTAACTACTTTATGAAGATGTGAAACTTCCGATTTCAAAATCAAGAACACATACAATCAAAGTAATTACATATTTTCATTTATAAAGTATTCAGGTATTTTAATTAAAATGTATATTTACAAAGAAAATTTCATAACTTTGATTATGTAAGAGAAATTACAATTATATTAACACTGGGCTAGTGCAGTGGTGATTTTCAACACCCCAAATGTTTTAAAAGTTGCACTATTCATAGATTTCGCAAGAAATATTTGTTTCCTCTTCAGTAGCTTCATGATTTTATGTATAGAGCATGCTCAGAAATTACTACGATGTTGCAAAAATTCCAGTAAGAGAAAGACAACAGTTCTCTGTAGGGTGTCCAAACACCCCACAGCATTAATTATATATATATATTTTTTAAATTTTATAAATATTTATTTAGTTTTTTTATTTTTAAAATAACTATAATGTGACCACATTTATTATTTATAATATAGATAAATTATTTTTATTCACATTGATTATTATAAGTTTATTTTAATTCAAAATGGCTGACTTTCATAAACACACTGAGAAAATACCAAACATAGCAAGCTGCTTGTCATTTGCATTGAGTGCCAAAGTACAATGTCAGCTATTGAATCAGAGTGACAAAAATGCTGAAAAAAACAATTTAGATTTTTACTATTTGTTTAATAATAAGATCTAATGTAATGAGTTTTGATAAATGTTGTTTTTATTTTCATGGATTTATGTACTGATATAATATGTAATCATACCTTAATATAATCATATGTATAATGACACATGCCTTTACCAAATAAATGAGTAAATTTTTATGAATTTTTACTTACATGGTTTATGGACCCAAAAAAATGTTGGGGTGGACAAACACCCCACTGCATTAATGCCGAAAAAAAATTCAGTGCATTAATGCAGGGTTAATTACAATGATAATCAGTTATAAATAGGTGCTTTCAAAAAATTAAAAAGCAATTTAATTTATTATTATAAACTTTTTATGAATATATATTATTTGACAAATAATATACTAATAGCCTTACTTCATATAAAGAGGCTAAACTTTCCAAAGTTCTTGCCCGTCGTGAACCATGTCGTCCCATTGCACGATCAAACTAAATAGTGCAAAAAAATGAGAAAAATATAAAATGTTAATCCAATATATACTTAATATACATTTTATAGAAATTTTCTTCAGTAAAATATTAAAATTATATTTAAAAATATTTTACTTACTGTCAGATTTCTGCTGCTATAACCATGATGCCTACCATACTCATGCATATGCCTTAATTGCTCTAAATGAGGAGCAGCAATAAATAAAACATAGGGCATAAATTCTGAAGTCTTAAGTGATTTCAATGACTAAAAAAGGAAAAAATTTAATTAAAAACTATAAAACTATTTACTCATTATTTTCAATAATAATTACAAATCCTAACAATTGAATATTAATATTTTCCCGAAGAATTTTTATTTTTTATTAAGTTTTACAATAAGTTTACTTACTACATATACTTTTTTTAATGTTAAACTTAATTTTTTAATTAATGTATATGTAAGAGTAAACAGTCCAAAAATTGAGGACTGATAATATATTTTATGTTTAGATGTTTCATTCTAATCTTTTCTTCATGAAACTAGTATACAGTAGTAATTTAGTATTCTGCTTATTAATTATACTTTTATCAATATAATATCTCTAGGTTCTTTTATATTAATGAGTTTATAGTTCTAATTGATTAACAACCTAGTCTTTATTTATTATTTAGAAAGAGATAAGTAATCTATTAGTATAGTATATTTGAATTCCTAGAAATATTTTAATATTAAATTATAAATACATTTAGACAACCATGCCCAAATTATGTAATAACTAAATAATAATGCAAGATTAATTTTTGGACTAATTAACGTAATAAACACTATGTCATTTGTACTAAAGGCAGGCTGTTAAGCACCTATCTTGTACTGAATTTGATAATTAGAATTAAATAATTTAGACTATTTTGGAAGAAAACATCAATCTTGAGCAAGATTCAAACCATAACTTCTGCTTATCACACAGATGCATTGCCAATTATGATACTCAGTTCAAGCTGTGGACTTGAGTTCCACTCAGGATTGATATTTTTGACACAACAGTCTAAATTATTAAGTTTAGTAGAAAATAATAGCTTAGCATCTACCTTTATTATATTAATTAATCAAATTTTAGCTTGAAAGTTAATCCAGCATTATCATTTCATTAAATTACATTTAAACAAAACTGAATGATTTGTTTTTTGTTCAATTATATGCTCATGCAGACAAAACATTTATTAAATTACATACTGCATACTATAAATATTTTATTAACTAGTTAAGCAGTTAATAAGTTTTATAAATAACTATTAAAAAAATTGCATTCAAGATAAATTTTAAAAAAATTTAAATACTTAAGTACCTGAGGATTGCAGTCAAGAACACACATTTTTCCTGATCGAATAATAGCTCTAATAGAATCTAATTTAGTTCCATACAAATGATGATCATGTTCACCCCATTCCAAATATTTATTTTCTGCTATATCTGCCTCCATAGCTTCTCTTGTAACAAAATAATAGCTTTTTCCGTCTTGTTCACCTTCTCGAATTGGTCTCGAAGTATCTAAAAATGGAGATATTGTTTACTATTCAAGTAGAAAAATAAATTTCAATTTTATTTACTTTTAAGTCAATACCTTTACTGTAAAATTGTTCAAATATATATAAATATATATATATATCTGTATTAAACTGTGCCACACAGTTTAATACATAAATTTTTCTCTCATCATTCCAATCACTTTAAATTATTTTGATCAAAATTATAAAATTTTATTTTCTATTTTACACAACCAGATGATTTTATTACTGTAATTAATAAAATTTATAAAGATAAGATTTCAAATTATTATTACTTGATTAAAGTCACACAAATGTTAAATTAAAGCAAATTAGTAAGTATTAAAAAATAAAAGTCTTTTAGATAAATTTTAAATTGATACTATTTAACAAATAGTTTCTATAAAAGAAATGCTTTAATAAAAGTTAGATAAAAATATTTAATAAATGTATTTGTTTATATTTAATTAATACAAATAAATACAATGTAATAATGTGAAAAAAATTAATATAATTAATAATAAAAAAATGAATATATGAATAATTTTATTAATATTAAAGTTTAAATATTTAAATTTTTACTTAAGTCACTTAAAAAGACGTTTTTAAAAAAATCTGAAATTTATATAATAATTATTTATTGAAAACCATGTTTCATTTTTAGACAATATCTAAATACAGTTAACTTGGTTTAAAACAGATACCTAAAAAGCATATTTTACCATTGCCCCAGCAAAATGTCATTGTCACAACATTAATTTTCATGTGATAAACAAAAATTTTACTAGAATTCATTAAACCAAACAGTAAATTAGGGTTATTTCTTGAAGTCAAGAAAGTAATTATCTTCACAACCCTCAAGAAATAATCCATTCCCAATAATGATTGCTTTTTACACCTTTCAATATGATCAATAAAACATGGTACTGTAATAAATGTTTCATTTTGAGTAGAATAGATTTTCTTCTACTAAGCAAAGACTGATTCAACTTCAGATTGTAGAGCAATTCAAACATCTCATTTTAGTGAACCATTCTACTGTACTCAGAAAATAGAGGTTAAAGTTTAAAGATGCCCACCCCTTAAAATGGATGTGGTTCCATGTAAACATGTGCTAGTTTGCATATCAGGAAGTGCATACAGTAATGCCAGGTTTCATTAGTTTGTGTCAAATCTGACTCGTGTTTTACTCTTTTGGCATCAAAAAATATTTTCTTTTTTTCAAACAATCTTCAACAGAAAAAATAAAATAAAATCACAGATTTCTTTTAGCTTTGGTTTGTTTAGCCACTCTAATATACTGCTCCACACTTAAATGGTAAACACCATCTCCTCTTCATTTCATTTGATTTGAAACCCATTTAAAACATTAATTTGTTTTGTAAATAAATTTAATTTTATAATTTAGAAATTTCATCATTAATTATTTTGTTACTATTATCAATTTAAGTCTATAATGTGTTTTAGAGTTTATCATACATGAGACCGACTTTCAGATTTTAGTTTTTATTTAACATTAAAATACAATACTTAATTAATTTTATAATAAAGTTCTTATTCAAATTCCTATTAATAAATATACATTTTGACATATTTATTCAATATGATACTGAAATGCATATTTATTAGTAGGCTGAAAATTTGAATAAGAACTTTATTATAAAATTAGTTAAGTATTGTATTTTAATTAAAGTTAAATAAAAACTAAAATCTGAAAATCAGACTCCAAGATAAGCTCTAAAAGATGCTATAGCTTTAAATTGATAATAGTAAGGAAATAATTAATAATGGTAAACAGAAGGGCTAGAAACATGCAATTTAATACTAGAAATTTCAATTGCCTATTAATTTAAGACTTAACACCCTAAATTTTATTAAATTAATAAAATTTATGCACAAAATGTGTTGTTGTCACGTATCAACTAAAAATGATGGAAATAGAGCCAAGTGTTTATTTATAACTCAAATGTGAGTTCGAAGTCAACCCTAAATTTTACCACCTTGATGCTGAAAATTGCTAATACAAATTTTTGATAAAGCAAACTAACTTCTGTTTCCCTACTGATTCATATTAATTAATTAATGCGAGTTGACTGTATTAACAATTTCTTTAAAATAAATTAAAGTTGTATACTTACGAGGTAAAGGTGTGGCAAATCTTTCAGGATCAGAACTGATAAGTTTACTCTTCATAGTTCGGCGACCTACACCTTGTGCTCCGATGAGAACAAGTGTCTTTCTTTGAAAGGGTGGCATTCGAGCAACTTCTTCATAAAACAATAACTCAGCTTTATCAAATTCTGTTTAAAATTAAATAAAAACAAATAATTAAAAGTTTAGTTTTTATACATAGTCTGCATAAGAAAATTGTTTTGCTTAACTTTAGTATCTGAAAAAACTTGTAAAAAGCATATTACAATAACCATACTTTAAACATTTATACAGAAAGAGTCATTATGTAGTCTGTAATGCTATTTTTGCACATCATAAATTATTTGTAGTAAATAATTATAGAAAATTATTATATATAAGAGTAATATTTTGTTACACCCAAAAATTAAAAATTATATATAACAATTATATTAGTTGATTGGATTTTATATTGATCAAGCCTAATGTCATAAAAATAGATACAAAAATAAAATTATTGGAATAATAGCATTATTTTTTTTTAATGAAAAATAATTCTGGCTGAAAGTCATGGGTGTGGAGTTTCCAAAAATAGAGACTGACCTTGAACTTCCATAAAAGCACGAAGAAGGGAAGTTATAGGAAATGACAATATTACTCTATTGGATTTTCACAAGTTCCAACAGAGTAATATTGAATGTGAAATTGTAGTTTGGTTTTCCAACAGTGCAAAGGTTTAAGCTTATCAAAAAATAAAATCATTATTAATATTTTGATATCATTCCTTTATGTATTTCTTCATATTTAATTAGACATGCAGATATACATTTGTTATAATTAAATAATTTCTACTTAAATTCTACTGAAGGCATGAAATTTAGAAATCAGATATTCCAAAGTATGCAGAAGGCATTAAAAAAACGTTACAAATTTTATCACTATATAGAACAATGGCATTACAAGCCTATTGAGGAATATAATAATGTTTGGTAGGTTCATTATCATAGGAGAAAATAGTTTTTGATTGCTGTAGAAAATGCAATTTTCTACAACAAATGAAACATGTCAGCAAAATGTTCTACAACAAATGAAACATGTCAGCAAAATGTATTGTTAAACTACTTCTTGCCCTATTATATCTATTATATTATTAAATTGTATTTAAATTTATGGGCTTATCATACATATGACATATGAGACTACTATACTAAGTCACTAAATCATATATTAGAGAATATATTCAGTTTAATGCCCCTTTTCAGATCTGCAAATGTGCAACATCCTAAAGCACATGGCTCTTGAGAAATATGAAGTAAGATCTGGATATCAAAGTGACCTAGATGTCTTAATTAAAGATGAAGCAGATAAGCTGTTGCTTTGCAAAGTGATATAGTAACAAGCACCATTTCATACAGAAAGAAGATCTGAAAAAAGGAATTAAATGGCATGTGTTGGCTAACTCAATTGATGTATTATGTTCTGCTGTAGAATTTATCATTCTTTGAATGGAAATTGAACTATTAAGAATAAGATCATAAAATTGCACTGATATGTTGTGATAAAAATCACTAAACTACACAACTGTAGTAAAATACAGACATACTGTTACAGTGTCTGCTTCTGAAACAAACAAAAGCAGAGATTGTAACAGAGTTGCTCCCTACTTTCCACTTTCTTCTTGTACTTCTTTAAATAAATTTAAATATCACAATGAATATTAAAGAACTCATTCATCGTAATAGAAATTTGAATACTGGGATATAGCTGTAAATATATATACACACAATTTAATTAAAGCAAATGTCATACACATTTGATTTGTGCTGATAACAAATCTAACAAGTAATTTTTTTTAAATAACTAAAAATAATCTTTTTTATATATTTTAAAAGAGATAACAGCAAAATAAATACACAAAAAAAAGTTAAATTTTGTCTTAAAACAGATGAACATTACACATTGTAATATAAAAAAACTTAGTGATGAAGCACTCTTCTATTTAATTATAAATTTAGAAATCTTGAAGGGTGTCTTAATAACAGAGTTTAAAAACAAACTATAATTACCATATTTTCTCAATTGCTACTTAACAGAATCTACAGTGATATGATTAGTTTCAAAACACATTTTTAGTGGGAAAAAAAGATCTGAAAACACTAAATAAAAACTTGATTTCATATCACACCTTGAATTTTTGTCTTTCAAGTAGAAAAGTTTATATAAACTTTTTTATTTAGCTAACATATTCTACATTATTGTTTTCATTGGAATGTAAATCTTATTAAAAAAAAAAGATATATTCTTTTAGTTAATATAGAATATCAAAAAATTCTGTGTAAATTTTTTGAAATTTTTCTGAATTGTTTTAGTTTATAAAATATTCAATTAAACAAATATAATTTACTTACCAGCATTTGCTTTGCTTTGATACATAGTTTTTCGTTTTTTCTTTGTTACTTTTGTTCCACACATACCTATAAAAAAATATGACTGTGATTAAAGCTTTTTATTTGCATTATTTTCAGTTTGTCTTAAAAAAATGGATTCTTCAATCTTTCAATAGGATAACTGAGGTTTATAGTAATGTGATGAATAAAGCTTCAGTTCAAAACAAACAGTGAGAATTGTTGTCCAGAGGCATTGTGTTTATTCAGAATAACACACGTCTGCATGCTGCTGTGTTGACGAAGAACTTGCTTCAGCAGTTTAAGTGGGAAGGTTTTGAACATCCTTCTTATAGCCCAGACTTGGCTCCAAGTGATTCCCATCTTTTCCCAAAATTGAAGATTTTTTGGCCAGGAATCACTATGGAAGTGACAACAAACTGAAAGAGGCTGTTAATGACTGGTTCAAGAACTTACTGGTAACTGAGTGTGCAGAAGGCATAGAAAAGCTTGTGATATACTATGACAAATGTTTAAATTTGTATGGTGACTATGTAGAAAAATAGCTAAGGTATCATATGTGTTGTAAAATAAGTTTTGTTTCATTATCTTAAATAAAAATATCTAGAGAAATAAATGTTCTTTACTTTTAGAATGACCCTTGTATTTATGAATATTGATGTAAACAGCAAATAATGTTTTAGAAAAAATTATTAAATAAAAAAAAAGTTTTCCAATTATTTTCTTAAACTGCACATTTATTTTATTAATTTATTTAAATAAAAACTATTATAGTTTTACTTATTGAGAATTTATCCTATAATTAATATTCAAACTTACTATCAAATCACTGTGTTTGAATCATTTAAATGCCATAAACTCATTAATATATTTTTATTTGTCTGCTGTTATAACTTCCACTTCTATATTATATCATCAAAATTTTTACATATAATAAAAATACATAATTTGATTAATTTAATTGGTATTCTGTAGTTAATTTTAACATTTTTAATAAACAATTTTTTTCATTACAAACAATCCAATTTCTCAACTACAATAAAGAAATTAACCAAAATATTTTTTTTAATAAGTAAAAAAACATAGCTGTGAGTCAGGCATTCAAAAGTCAAACTATATGGTAAAAACTCTTTTCTTTAATGAGTATTTTAAAAAGTAGGCAATTTATAATTACACTTACTTGTTTTGGTAGCATAATCATGTTCTGGAGGCACAAAAGCTCTCCTCCTCTCCTCCAATTCTTGAGATGGAATAAGTCCTGCATATCCATGACTATTAACTTTTCTTGCCTGTATTAAAATATCAGTTAACAATGAATATAGTCTCTTATTTTCAAATCATTATCACACATAATTATTTTCTTTATTATATATATTTTTACATTATTCAAAAAAATTAAGATTCTAATTTATAGATTAATTTAAAAAAGTTTTTATAGATGTATTCAAAACTACACTGATCAGCATCTCTTCCTCAGTTATTCTGATAAGCATAACAATACAACATTAATACAATAATAACTTTTAATAACATATACTGTACATTACATTGATATTAGTCATTTAACAGATTGATTTTATAATTAAAATATTTATTAATTTTAAGATTTTTATTTCAGTAATAATCAGATCAAAAACTAATCACTTCAGATAAACAGAATTTAGAGATTATATCAATAGACTTTTTTTCTTTTATTTAAAAAAAAAAAGATGCATCTAAATCTTTTTAATCTGAATATCAAAAATTATAAGTCTAATAAAACTTCAAAACATTAAAACAAATTTTAGTTATTGCATTATTAATTTATTTATATACAAAATTACTCAAAATATCCTACCTGCCACCAATTGGGATCCTCTTGATTAAGTATTTGTAAAATATCTCCTTGTTTAAATGCTAACCCTATATCTTTACAAGGTAGTAAAGAATCTTTTGATGGATCATAACTAAAGAGAGCTTTCACATAACACTAAAAAAAAAAAAATAAATAAAATTGCAACTATTAACTACCCAATATATAAATAATTTATTTAAATAAGGAAAACTAATAATAAAATTAAACACTAATTCTATTATAGAAATTTGATAATTTATTATATCCTATTTCTCAATTATTTACATGAGAGCTAAGAGAGCTTTTTAAATGATTTTATGAAAGCTGTTTGTTTATCATAAAATTATGTTTTATATGTTATATTTGTTTTATTTCATCATTTCTCTATTATTTGTTGTGTAATATCTTTAAAAAGTTATTTGATATGGTTTGATCTATTTAGAATCCAAAGTGTTTTGATAAGTGAATAAAAATACATATACCATGAGAAATATATAAATCATTGTTAATATAGTAAAGATAACATTTACCTGATCAATAAAACAATTATTCCTAAATTATATAATTCAGAAATAATTATATTATATTGATTTTGAAGAAATAAGGACTGACTTTTTCAAATTAAGTTTAATATTCTGAGTTTTCTACAATTTTTTCTTATTGAAAAACTAATGAATATGAATTAAAATTCTTTCAAAAGATGAACGTTTTTAATATAGCAAAAACATGTAGTTTTTATGATCTCTGAAATGTCAACAAATAAATTAAAAAAGATTAATTTTTGTTGCTTCAGTTTAATTCATCTGATTGCCAATTTCCACAAAATTAGAAAAAATACAGAGAATGAGTCATATAAGAAAACATTTTCATTTTGAATGGACATAACATAAAAATCGAACGAAATGAAATGACATGAAAATGAAATGTGTTTAACTTCAACATTTATTTGTCACATCAACTCAAAGCAAGAAATATCATTGTGATGAATATTTTACAAGCATAACTTTTTTAAGAACAAATTTTATCAAAATTAATTCATCACAGATTATCACAACATATTAAAGTTAGTTTTGAGTTCTGACAAATACAGAAAAATTAATCATAAATCAATTTTATGATCTACTATTTAAAATTTAATATAAGGAATTCAGGATGTAGAAAATACATATTCATTGTAACAAATCATAATGAAATAAAATAACTGCCATTTATTGGCCAACAGATAGCACTGTGCCAGAGATATATATATGTTACTGTGAAAGACCGAAATTAGTGAATGTCGATACTCTCTGGTAAATGTCGACACATACAAAATATTCGGTGAAAGACCGAATATTTGGTTACATTATTATGCATTCGAACAATCGCCAGTGTATGTCGACAAGCACAGATAAGCTTTGGTGGAGGTCGAAACGACACCCAAGAAGCCGATGTCGACAGAGAGGCGACAGTCTGTCGCCAAATCCTTTGTTGGTAGCCAGAGGTAGAACAAGGTCGTACCTCCTTTCCCGGCAACGATTTGGTGGAAATCACTTTGTCACTGGATGGCGTTTTTGTTCTTTTGATCCCGTGAGATGAGGATTGGTTTGTCAGGTCGAGTGGCAGAGGATGAGAGGGATCGTCGATATCCAAATAAAAGACACCATTAACTGATTACGTGATTAAGAACAGATCAGTTCTTAATCACGTAATCAGTTCGTAATTTGTAAAGAAAAGTTACTTTACATAGATGAGATTTCTTCTCAAGAAATATCGCAAAGAGAAGCAGCTGCAGCTAATTTGAAAAGTGGAGGGCAAGGCTATACACGCTGTCATTGCAAAAAGAAATGTTCCACGAATAAATGCAGTTGTAAAAGAAAGAGACTCTTGTGCAATTCAAAGTGCCATAACAATTTAAGTTGTTGCAATAAATAAGAATGTATAACATTAATCACATAATTTATGTGTAAGTTTATTATTGTATTATTTTCTTTAATGATTTAGAATGTACTGTTTGTTTTAGGTTCAACAGTTTATTTACATGTGCTGTTACTAAAGCTTTCTCCTATTTTGACATATTAAAAAGTTCCATGTTTGTCTTAACGTAATAAAGATATTTTTATTTAACATTCACTACCAATGCATGCTGAATGTCGACATTTGCCAGTGTAAGTGAGAAATAATGATATTTAGCAAATATTTCATACATACACGAAACGACTGTGTGAATGCTGATATTCACTGTAGAATGTTGACATTCGCCAGATATCGGTCATTCACAGTAACATATATATATATATTAATTATTAAATTTATAAATTTATTAATTAAATAATATTACTAACTTGAGATGCTTGTATGGTATCTTGATAAGATGGCATTATTTTGAATGTTACACTTCCCATAGCTTTTTTCAATTGTTCCTGTAATTGACCTGGAGTATGTATTTCAACATCATTTACCTCCATGATGATATCACCAACATGCAATAAACCTTTGAAAAAAAAATAATTTATTTAAATTTTTGAAAAATAAATTAATGCAAGATAAATTTTAAATAATGTTATTTTAATGATTTCCATAAATTCTCCCCTTCCCATTTTCTTTTAATCTGCAATATCTGAGAGCTTTTAAAAATTATAAATGCAATTTATGATAGTAAATCTATTTGATTTTTATAAAAAAATTCATACTTAAAAATTTCAAAACCATCAACAGGCAAATAATTAGTAATATTTTATTTATCAAGAATCTAATCCTGATTACATTTCTGATATTGTGTATATGCAAGATTTTTACTTGAGATGCGCGCGCACACACACACAAATTTATTACTAAAAAATATAAAAAATTTTCCATAAATTAAAAAATTATTAGCAGCATAATACTGGTAATTATGCATTTTTACAGAACTATGAAAAATCAAGTAATAATTATAAATTATTTTAATTAACTTCTATTTCATAAATTCTTTTAAAATAATATGTTAGCCAGTAACTTAAAAATAAACAAATAAGTAATAAAATGAGAACATTTTATTGTGAAAACAGAAAACAATTATACAAACCTTGTCTGTCTATAATTCCTCCTGCAAGAATTCTTGCAATAATCAAATTGCCATTTTCTTCTCTGACTGTTATTCCCTATTTTTACAAATAATTGAAGAATTAAAACTAATTTCATTATAAGTTTATATACATTCTTAAATGTATAAAAGTTTACTTCTATGGTAAGCCAATATCCCATAATATATATATTTATTTATTAAAATTAAGATTTAAGTGTAGCTACAAAAAAATTCCTTGCCATACTTATTTGTTTAATTTTATTATTTTTTAAAATATTATTTAATATATTTAATTTCTCCAATTATCAAACTTCACTATTTCCTACTTTATTGTCAATCTCAATCAAATTTCAAATACTTTCAACATTTTGGATCAGCATTAAGAATACTTGTACAGAAAAAACTTCAAAATATCAAATGGTCCACTCATGATAACAACATAGATTGAAAATGATTTAAATTTAAAACTGTGTCTTATTATATATGATATTTCATGAAGGTTTATTTATTGAAGTATCCCTGTAAATGAACTAAATTCAGAATTTATTTGGGAACGAATGTAAATGTAATTAGGATTAACAATAAAACAGAAAATAATGAATTTTATATATTATTCTATAATTTTTTGAACACTTTGTACTTCAATTCTAATAGATAATTTAGACTACTGTGGAAGAAAAATTTGATTTGGAGCTGGACTCAATCCCACAACTTCTGTTTACAATACCAATGCATAAGCAGAAGTTGAGAGTTCAAGTCATGCTCTGAATCAATTTTTTCCCCCCAGAAAATTAAACTAAATATAATTATTAAATTTAATACAAAATGCACCTTAGTCTAAATTATAAGCTATTTACAGTAAAACACGTATAAACCGGACTTGCATGGTAGCAAAAATTTTCTATTTTGCAAGTTTCTGTTTTAAGCAGGTGTCTTTTTAAAACAGAAAATTGCTACATTTTAAAGAATTCTTCCTGTTTAGGCAAGTTTCCATTTTGAACAGGTTTACTGTACAGTACATACTAATCAGTCAAGTTCTAACCTCATAAATTCAGCTTTATCATGTCATTGTTATAATAATTTGAATTTGATTGATTATATGTTTATAAGCTTTTTAAATTGTGTTTTTGAAATATTAGCAATTTATAAGTTTTACAATAAGTAAATTTTTTGCAATGTCATTTATATATATAACATTTTATAATATAATTTTAAAAAGTATTTTATGATTATTTCACAATAGATTTATTTGTAATTTTTACTTATGAATACTAAATCTTGTGATTTTTATGTAGCAAACAAATAAATATCAAAATATATAATGAAGTATTATTATTACAATATGAAAAGCAAAACATTTTAAATATTAGTTTTTGAAGGACCATTAATTAACTCATTTCTTTTAGAACTGAGTAAGGTAAATGACATATCAAATTTGATATAAATCATTATTATGATTCTTTAAATTAAACATTGCCATTCAGTTAAAAATATAACAATTTTCTATGCTTTAAAATGAAAAAACTTCATTTTCAAATAGATATAAGTATGCTGTAAATTAATGGTTATGAAGTTATTAAATTTAAAAATATTTATAGCAAATGAAACATTTTAAATTTCATGTTTCAATTTTGTAATGGCTAATATCTAACACACACACACACACACAACTGGATTAAATGAACATTATATAAAGTGCTCACAAAACATTAAATTTCTACTTACTGAATACAAATAAAAGTTTGAAGATTCATAATTTATAAAATATAATATTTTTAGTTATCAACTTTAGCTTCCATTATTAATTTCTTAAATAGTCTTTCAGAACATACCAATGGATCATCATCAATTTTTCGAATTCCAACAACACGTATATCATCTGAAGGAAGGTTATTATTTGGTGGGGATGGCAGCATTACTGGCAGAGGTGGTTTAGGAGGTTCATAACTCTTTGATGCTATTGTATCATGTGCTTCCAATAAAGTCTGAAATAATTGTGCATAATATTAAAAGATTCATATATATATATAAAACAATTTTAAATTACTGTTAAAAACAACAAGCAATAAAATCTATTTATTGTAATCACTTTGGACTCACCTATACCAATAATGATAACTAACTGATAACAGCAAAATAAATACACAAAAAAAAGTTAAATTTTGTCTTAAAACAGATGAACATTACACATTGTAATATAAAAAAACTTAGTGATGAAGCACTCTTCTATTTAATTATAAATTTAGAAATCTTGAAGGGTGTCTTAATAACAGAGTTTAAAAACAAACTATAATTACCATATTTTCTCAATTGCTACTTAACAGAATCTACAGTGATATGATTAGTTTCAAAACACATTTTTAGTGGGAAAAAAAGATCTGAAAACACTAAATAAAAACTTGATTTCATATCACACCTTGAATTTTTGTCTTTCAAGTAGAAAAGTTTATATAAACTTTTTTATTTAGCTAACATATTCTACATTATTGTTTTCATTGGAATGTAAATCTTATTTAAAAAAAAAGATATATTCTTTTAGTTAATATAGAATATCAAAAAATTCTGTGTAAATTTTTTGAAATTNTAATTTGAAATAATGTTATTATTAGTAATATTATTATTACAACATTACCATCAAGTATTTTCTACAAAATACACTGCCTAAGATGAAACCTGTGAAGTGTGAACAAAACACCATATGTGCTATCACTCCATTATAAAATTTTTATTAGAACATGTCAAAAACAGAAATTTAAAAAAGTATTTGACTAAAAAGCCTGAAACAAAAGCACAACAAAATGAAGCCATTAATTTTAATACTCTAAATGCCATCTTGATTGAGACTACAGACAGACCTTGAATTACAGCAAAGTTCTGTTTCCAAACTTCCATCATATTAGCTATGTGGTATTGGTACACACTAATACAATAGAGCAATGCTTATTGCATTGCTCTATTGTATTAGTGCAATTGCACTTCAATTAATGTTTAATATTTTAGTTAATTAATTATGATATTTTATCCACAAAGATTATTAGAAACACTCAAGACAGTCAGCCACATTCAAAGGAAAAAATCATAGAGGGAATATTACAATCTCGAATAAAATTGATTTTAGTTTTACTTATTTAATTTATTATTTACTTTAACCTTATAAAACTAAAATGATTATCCTGAACTGCTGAAACAGCTCCTAGAAAGTTTTGTTTTCAATTTTGGAGTGTTAATTATGATAACCAAAGTTATAGTTGAACATAACTAAACTTACCAGGTCATTGTAGTGTAAAGTGTTTCTGTTGTCATTACAGTATTACATTTAACATATTAAATGGTACAGTAAAAATTAAGGAGTGCAATTAATTTTTTGAGCTCAAAAATAATTTTTTTAAAACACTAGTTTCAGCAATCGTAAGTACAAATATTAGTTAAATCAGGTATTGAATATACATATATAAATGCACAAGTATTGGGTTGTTCGGAAAGTTCGTTTTTTTCCGTGGGAAAAACGTAATATTTTTATAATAAATAAATATTTTATTAAATTATATATCAACCATTTTGGTCAAATACCTGTTGTCATTGTTTCTGGTAGTAGCATGATTTCACGTTCATAAAAGTTTTTATCGTTGCTTACAAAAAAACCGATCCAAATGATTTTTGACATTGTCATTTCAAGTAAATGTCTTACAGTTAAAAAAAAATTTGTATAGACCAGAACAAGAAATAATCTGAGTGTGCTCCATCTGGCAAATATGGTTGGTGTGATAGCATGCCCCATCTAAGTTATAACAGTTTCTGACCAGTTACCAAACTTGTGTGAAATTTGACATGATCGTAGTAAAACACTACACGTGTTTTGTTGATCAATTCTGACCACCTTTTCTGTTTGATGATATTACTCAATTTTTTTACTCGATGGCAGTACACTTTCAAATCAATTGTTAAATTGTCTGGTAAAAGCCGCCCAAAAAAATTCTTAAATCCCATCAAAGAGAGCATCTCTCTAAGAACATGTGGAACCCATATATCGAGCTTTGAAACGAAACCAATTTGTTTCAAGTAATCATAAACAGTTCAATTTGACAAATTTAATCTCTTAGTGATTTCATGTGTTGTTATTTGGCAGTTTGCTTCAATCAGTACCTTTATTTTGTTTTCATTGGCTTCAACTGGCCATCCAGAACGTGATGCATCTTCGATATTGAAATTGCCAGAACAAAATTTTGTAAACCAGTTTTGGCACTATCTTTCTCTCAACACATCATCTCCATACATTTACCATAATTTTTTTCTTTCTTGAACAGCATTTTGATTTTTTTGTAATAAAAAAGCAAAATATGCTGAAAATGATGCTTTCAATCTTCCATATTTGATGGGACACAAAAAATAAACAATTGCATAGAATGAAACAAAATTTTTTACAAATAAGCCTTAAAATACTAGCTGTCAAAATATATAATGATAATATGGTTTAGAATGAAAATGACGGGAAAAATATGACTAATCTGTCTAGTGGTAAAAAAAAATGAGCTTACTTTCCAAACAACCTAATATTTTATTTTCTGCATCATATTCATTTTATTTTGAGTTCATTTGAACAAATATAGCAAATAATAAGAGTAAATTGAAACTTTATAAAAAAAAAAATACATTTACATTTTGAAGCAGTAATATATTTTTACCAAAATGTAAAATCTGTTTAAGCTGGAAAGTTTGCACAGACCCTTGCATTCCCAGCTTTCACAAATTTTACTATATAATTTACTTACACAGTATATAAATTATTTTTCTTCTTTAAATAATACTAATCAAAAAATTTTTAATTTGAAAATGAAATACTGTACCTGTTTAATATAATTTTAGTAGTATCATATTAAAAATTTAATTTGTATGGAATAGAAAATTTCATGAAAATTATTAAACTCCCCTCTTTTAACTGCCCAAAATCCATCTATTATTAAAAATGCTTGAATACATACTGAAGAAAGGACAGAAATAGTCATATTTTATCTTTGCATTCTCAAACAGAATTTTAAATCCATATTATCAGCTTGTAACCTTTAAATAGCTTAAGAGTCATGATAAAATAAAATACCTGAATGTATGGATCACTTAGAATTTCAACTAATTCTTCAGCTTCTTGCTTATTTGAATTACAACAGGTTTTAATCACATCTTGCACAAGTTTTATATTTCCAGTAGAGACAGGTTTCAGAGAACCATTACTTTCTTCTAATCTATCCTGCATCTGCAATAAAAATAAGACAAAAAAAAATATCTTATTTTTACGTTCTAAATTTACTTATTACTCAAAGAAAAATTTTAAATACTGCTTTTTTAGATAATTTAATTAAATTTTAAAAAATTATTTAAATGTTAATCAGTTTTTCTTTTTGCTTATGTAAAATAAAAAAAACCAATAAAATTATAAAAATATTGTTTAATAATTAAATTTAAATAATATTTTAAAAATTTATTATACCTTAACAATTGAACTCATAACAGGAGACTCCATAAGACTTTTTAGAAAAATTAGATCGGTATCTCGAGCACCAACCCTTCCATTAAGATCTTCTATATTTTCTCGAACATGTTGAAAGGCCGCTAAATACATAAATCAAACAAAATTATTAAGGACAGCTTATGTACAATAATATGTCATTAAACATGATAATATTAAAATTAACAAAATATCATCCTGTGGTTTTGCATTTACTTTTCTAATATTCTCTCTAATCAAATTCTAATTAAAATTGTATATTCTCAAGTATAAAATAAAGAACAAGTTGTCATAAATATCAGAAAACCAAATTGACTATACTTTCCATTAGCTTACTTTGCTTAATATTCTACATCCATCTTAAATCTATAGTATATAAAAATAAATATACTGTAAATTCCTTAATTTAAATCAAAGACTCCATTGTAACAGCAATAATATTTTCATAAAAATTTAGTTAAATAATTATTAGTTTTTTTTGTTCATTAGTAGACATGGTAGAAATAATAGTAATACGAATTTGTTCAAATTAAAAACAAAAACTAGTTATTATTTAATAAAATTTTTAGAAATTTGATTATCCAATAGTGTAGTTATTGTAAATTTTGAAATATTTCATAATGTAAGCATTGTAGTACACAATTCCTGGCTATATCTTCAAAATATTTTACAATGATATTTTTAAAATTTATTATATCTTAACAATGAGTAATAATGCAGTAAACTTTTTAAGTAAGATAAAGAGCCGTGAAACCCTCTAAAGTAACTATTATCTGCGTAAACAATTACTTCTGTTTTTGACTGTTACCTGACATCTGATTAACGAGACATTTTCTATATTTTTCATATAATAAAAAAATTTTTGTAAACTTGTGTATTAAAATTTTAACTAGATTTATTTTTCTAAATAATTCCCTTATCACAATCCAGAAAAAACATTTCAGCAAAATTTTTTTTTTATATTAACTTTAACGTGCTGATTTAAACGATGCTGAGTAAGTATTATCTATTCATTAATTAGCTAATTTGGTAAGAGGATTTGAGCATTAAAAGAATGCAATCTTTTTCATTTTTAACTGATAAAAGAAACAATCCTAATGAGATTACAATTTGTGACAGTAATCAATATAAACCATTCTTGACTTGTGATTATTATTTTTTTACATTGTCAGAAATTTGATCTGTAAAGCCAGTTCATACTGTAAAAGAAAAGTTACTTTGATAATCACTTGTAATGCTGCTGAGTAGGTGTTCAGACTGCATGATTTTACTAGGTAACTAATCAAAGACAAATTACTATTTATATTTAGAAAACATATTTTCAGTTTGAAATAAGTGCTTCATAATTTTAATTAACCAAAGAAATAAATACATTTTTATTTGAATTTTCATTTATCAAATACTGTATATAAGTTAACAATTTTAGACAATTACAGCATCAATTTAATAATAATATAATATATATCATAACTTTCTCTTTCACTTAATTTTTTGTATATATTCCATGCAACAAATATAAAAATGGCAAATGATACTAAATAAATAGAAATAGAGTATCATGTGTTTTACAATCTTAATATTCACTAGACTGCCAAAGAGTTGCTCTCAATCTTTGTATCTTGTTTACTTACATGATTGGTATATAGCCAAAAACACTCGAATTTTCTAAAAAGTTTTTTTCTCTAAGAAAGCAGTTTGATATGGATAAAGTTTCTATGTGATAATGACATATCAATGGTGATCAAATGTGTACCAATATTCTTTCATTAATGTATAGCTCATATTCATTTATTAATTTACATGCTGTTAACTACTGAATTTTTAAAAGTAAAATTAATAAATTTTCTAATTTTGTTCTAAGCAGACTTTTTATTAGAAAAGTAGAACAATAGTTTATAAATTATCTAGGATGAATAGGAAAATCAATCAATTTGATGATCAATCAATTCAAACTTGACAACAGAGAAAAATCGATTTTCCAGATAATGAATTAATCAGAATTTTACCATTTTTTTCATTTACTCCAAAATATTGAAGTTGTCACAGTTAATCCTTCATCAACACAAATATCTATATACACATTAATAATTACATGAATTTCAATGAAACTCAGTATAAATTTTAAGATAAAAAATGAATAAATCCATACTTGCATATTAAAATATTGAAATGTACTGTATAGTACAGTACTTTAGAAGTGTGTTTTAAGAACTTTGAAGTAAACACAACTCAGAAACTTTTAATGTCTAGTTGAAATTTCTATTTAGTATGACATGTAATACAGTTTTCACATTACGAAAACATTCCTCTTCCAATAAACCTCTCTCTTTTAGAGTTATTAAAAAGTTAGTCTTTCTTACAAAGAAATGTTTGTTTAATTTAAAGTTTTTGTTGTATTTTATAGTGTATTAGTGTAGTATAAAAGCATCTGTGTTGAATTATGTAGTACATACAATATTGGAAAATAATTAGATGCTACATTTGATCTAATTATATTTGTTTGCAGACTATGAGATATGATCACCAGGACATCAATTATAGCAATTACATCTAGAATAGAATATTATGTTGTTTCTATCAAATGTTATAAATGAAATGAACAGACAAGATAATAATCCTTTATTAAATTTTTTATTAATATTTTTTCAAAATGATTATCTCTTCAAAAGAAACAAGAAACAATTAATTAATTAGGTTTTTTTATATTTGAAAGAAAGGAAATAATCAGTTCTTCTTACTAGGAACTGTAAATATTGTATTTTATTAAAATTAAGATAATATATATATATGCATTGGCTATATTTATATATATGTTCTTTTCTTATTGTTTCCCAAAAGACAATGACTATAAAATGAAAATATAAATAATGATGAATTTGTACATTGTATTCCTTGGAAGATTTTCAACTTGTCAGGAATGATCATAAAATATTATATATAAATAAATAATTTACAAAACTACAACATTTTTACAAAATATTTTGTGTCAGAATAAATATACGAGGGAGGGAGAAAAAATTTGCCTTTTTTCTGGCTATCATAATACAAATACTGGCATCAAAATTATGTCAAAATGTAGCTACATCCTTCCTGTAATTGTTTTATATGGCTGCTCTTCCAACCATCCTTCTGGAAAAATGGAATTGCTGGTAAGTTATAACCATATCTGTAAAAAGTGGGATTACTTATATCAAAGTGCAATTTTTGCAAAGATGGAGATGCACTGTACATGAGTTGAAAAACTGAATGTACCAAAGACAAACTGTGAATGGGTACAGGTATTGTGAAACTTTGAAAAAGTTAAAAATGATTATTTATAACAAAAGACTTGGATTGCTGATAAAAGGCACGACCCTTCTCAACAACAATGCACAGTCCCATGTCACAAAAGGCATTCTTGAAGAAATTCTTTTGGAAATGAATGGATATCCATACAATCCAGATCTTACTCTTGGTGATTTTCATCATTTTCATCTCTTCCCCAAGCTAAAGGATATACTGCAAAATCAACATCTAGACCAGGACTCCAACACTGACTTCCACATTGTTGTCTGACTGGCAAACAATTCAACATGGATATTGCAGTAAAGGAGTGTTTTAAAAAACTAGGCCCAGATTTCTTCAGATATGGTATTGAAAAATTTGTGTATAACACTGGAAAAAATGTTTAAAAAATTTAGTAATTGTGCAGAAAAATAGAAGATAGGGCAATATGCATTGTAATATTGTTTTTGTTCCAATAAACATGTTATAACAAAAGAATGAGCATCATCAAACTTTTTTTTTTTATATTCTTCTTCATACATTCAACAGACTTGTCTAGAAATATCACATAAAAAATATTAGTGCTATTATAGAAGCCTAACAGTATCTGCATTATCCAAAAGACTTTTATACTTTTGTAGACCAAACAAACCATTTAGTTAATAGTCCTTATCTTAATTAATAATATTTCTCCATTATTAGTTTTAGCATTTTATCATGGGCGTAGCGAGGGGGGCCTGGGTGGGCACGGCCCCCATCTGGTGTCCACACCAGAAAAATCACAGCTGAAAAACTGTTGAACTGATTTACGAAAAAAAATAAAACATTGAAGCTGAAAATTCTGAATCCTAAAATAAAAAAGAAGAAGAAAAAAAAAGTCAACGGCTCCCTCTGCTCAATATCATGATTAAAGGAAGTTTCATACTTTGTGTGTGTTAAGTTAATGTTGATTCTTATGGAATTTTCATTTTAATGAACAATAATTTGAAATAATTCAATTTTGTGTCAGGTTGGCCTCTCTACTAGGCCCCCATAACAAAACTCTGGCTACGCCCATGCATTTTATTCTAACAAATATCTCCCTTCTTACTGTCATGTCCCCTCAACAAAGTTTCATCAATTTGAACAAAAGTTCTTTATTCACTCATCAGCAAATGCTTCACATTGTAGATTAACAGATTAATGTAATATTTATAGAAATAAGTATAAGTCAAAATGTTAATTACTGTTAAAGCAGAATGTGCATTATTCGAACAGATATATTCAAATATTTTATTGATATTCTCCTTAATTAGCTCATGTTTTCTGATTTAATTTTTGTTTTACTATAAGAATCCTTATATAATAAAATATTTATAACAAAATTATTTTCTCTAATGATTCAAATATTTAATCTGATAAATATATAAAAACCAATGTTTACACACTGTTCATAAAATAGATGACATTTAAGGAAATATATCTTCAATATTTTTGTCTTACTATTAAGTTTATCTTTGCATGGTTATTTATTCTTAAAAATTTATGTACTTTCCTGTTCTATTTTAGCTAAAATCAAAGTAAATATTTTAATTATTCATACATTTAACCAAGAAAAAAGAAAAACTATCACAAAATCGGTTATCGAATTTTTGATGATAATATGAACAAACAAATTCCATTCAAAAACGTGAACAATGCAAAAAAAAGTTACAATATAATATATAATAGTTAAATTGTTATTTAAATCAATAACTTAAAAAACTGAAATGAGATAACTGAACTGCAACAATAAACTAGCAAACTTTTTAATTACTGAATACTGAAGATATGCTTCAGTATGTTTATAAGATATTCCCAACATTGTTATATGTTAAAAATGTTCTTTGTGCATTTAATTCTTTCTATTCTTTAAAAAACATACTGAACAAATTCACAGATTTAACTTATTCATTATTTTGCTACTAAATTATTGTGGCTTCCAAAACTTAGTTTTTTTTTTATTGCAGATTTTACCCTCTGCCATTAAGAATTTTTTTCCTTTCCTCATTTAATCAACAGTAAAATATCAATTTTTTTTCTATATATATATATATATAGTTTAATTTTACATTTTTAAATGCAAAAAATGGCTTATACTTCAACCTGATAAAAAATAAACTCAAATAAACTGATAATGAAAACAGTTTGTTATAAGAGTCTCCATAATCATTATTACGTATAACTCTGTGTAAGTATGAAAAAATTAAAATAATTATTATATAAATCATAACTGACTGCCTTTAGTTTAAAACTTTTTACAAATAATTTCATACCATAAGTTATTTATTTTCATTTGAAAATGTAATGAAATGTAAAAACTTATTTAAGGGAACCTCTGAACCTCTACCATAAACAGTTTCTTTATGTTTTTATTTTTAGAACTATCTTTTGAGAGGTGAAAACCAGATCTATGATAAAAATAAAAAGTGAAAATAATAACCAAACTAATATCTACATTAATTAATTTTTTGTTTTAAATTCAAATTTTACATATTCAAATTAAATTTGATTAACACAATAAATTGCATTTTTTCAGTTATTATTTTTAATATTTATAATATTATGACTGAAGTAATTAAGTAAATAATCTAAATCATTGCATTGATAGTTCTACTAATATTAATATATATGTTAATTAAATTCTTTTATTTTCATTACATAACTCATTTGGTTATTGAAGTAATAACTGAAACTTAGATTGAAGATAAATAAACTATTCAAATTTCTTGGAATAGTTTCATTTATGCAATAAAAGAAGCATGAAGGTAATGAAAGGCACTAAAATATGAAAATGAGAATGATTCAAAAGTTAAAATAACTGATATACTTTTAATTATGTATATATCTTATCTATTAATACTGAAATAACTTTGAGATATCAATACTTTCCTTCTTTATATACATACTTAATTTTATTTTTAGAAATTCTCTCTCAAAAAACTTTTAGACTAAAGTTTAGATGTTACAAGAGAATCAGTTTATGAAATTCTGAAATAGAAAAACAGCATAATTTTATTTCAGAATTTGTTATCAAACCAAAAAATTAAAATTTTTGTTTGAAGATGACATCTTTTAACAGCTAAAAGTTTAAAAAAATTTAAATTTTCTTTTGTTTTCTAAGTAGTCAACATTTTCAAATTATTCTAAAAACATATCAAGTACACATTCTTGATTAATTTTCATATTTTTACATTTTTTTTCAAAAATTTACTGTAATATTCTTGAAGAAAGTCCATTTAATGGTATTTAAAGATGTAGAAAGTAATGTTAATGATACTGTAATGTAATTATTACCACCTCAATCTACAGAAGAGTACACAGTACTCATAACTTTCAAAAGTTAAGTCGGTAATTATTTTAGCTTTGGAAAAACTAGTGGATAGACTAAAAAGAAATTTTTAGAAATAAAGCAGAATAATGAAATTATAAGATTACAGAAATGCCATAAATATACTCAAATTTGAATTAAAAAATAATTTAATTTGAAATTAGTAACAAAAACAACTTACAATATTTTTTAATTGATAATTCTTTAACTTAATTCAGTTGTTAACTAAACTAATTATATTCAAATGTTACTTAAACAAAAACAAATAACTATATATATATATATATATATAACAGTTTAAAAAATCTACACATCAATCATATATTCAATTTTAAAATTCTTAAGACAATTTATGTCAACCTCAATACATTTAAAGGGAAGCCAAAGGGTACACAAAGTCCACTTTTAGAATAAATGTTATATATTAAGCGAAATAAACAGTCTTATATGATCGCTTTACTTACTCCCTTGTCTCTGTTGATCCAGTATCTCCATACTTTTCAACAAGCGTCTATTTTCTTCGTCTCTCTGCTGCCGATTACTACCACAGATCACCATGACGACCCACGCCGTTTTAACAACCCCACCCTAACCGGAATACGAATTGCTAACACACAGATATCTCTCGTCGACTGTCACCGAACAATAAACTTTAAAATCCACAAACAAACTATAGAACAATAAGTCGAATTCACACTTTGCACCAGCAGACCATGCAATCTAGTCAATCACTTGAACGGACAATACCTTCTCTTCACACTTGAAACCGAACGATAAACAAAAAAAAAAAACAAGAGCGTCTCATTACACTGGAGACGATCCAGACTGGCCAGATCCTTATGAGCTCGAGAACTGACGTATTTATTTTCAAGAGACATACACAACCTATACGTCAGTCTTTGTTACGACGCGACTGACCTGAGGTGCGTGCGCCAGTTAGGTCCCTACCCCGAAGCTACTCACTTGGCCTGGGCCAAATCGTTACTAGGGGTGGTAGGAAGTTTTGACCGATCTCGCATGCAACACAACGCCAATAAACGAATAAAATATGCAAGTGTTACTAAATAATGCCATCGTCATCTACGAACACGTACAGTACAATATGTATTGTATGTTATACCTGCTGGGTTTTCATTTTAAAACCGCTAAAAAAACGTACGGAAAAACTGATGGGGTGTTTGATAAATAAGCCGAACAGTTAGTTCGGGGAATTTTTATCGTTTTTTTAAACAATTATTTACGGTATATTAGCTTTATATCCAGGTTTTATGATAGTTATGCATGAAAGAAAACGTCAAAAATGAGATTCGGTTAGGTTAATCAATTCCACGAAATCATAGATTTTATTAAAAAAAATATATTAACATAGGTCAAAACGTATACGTTTACGTGTATAAAAAAACAAGCTGTTGCCTGCAGGAAAATACCAAATTTTTCGAATATCAAAAACACCAGATAACTTTTTAAGATTTTATTTCATCCAGGAATAAAAACATTAAAAAGTCATTTGAAATTTTTATGTTTACAATAACTGCCGAGTGACATACTTTCGAAATGACTAAGAAACATTTATAATTTCTAATACATTAATTAATAGTGAATACTAAATTCCAATTTATAATCTCCTATTCAATAAATAATAATAATTTATAAGTCGAAATATAGGTTCAATATAAAGTACAGTACCTATTAAACATCAATATTCGTAATATCGCATATTGCACACGAATAACCATTTTTAAAGCAAAGAATATAATTATATTTCTTTTCTTTTACAATTATAACGTTGCCCAATCCAGTTTGAAGGTAATAAAACTTGATTTCCAAATTACATTATGCAAGTAACGATTATTAAATGATAAATATTACTCTTTAGTCTCGTGTAATTATCAACTATTTTTAATTTTCGTGAAGTAAATATGATCACTTGAGTACTGTTTTCTAAAATAAAATAACAATAACGTTTCTGTGTCTAAAATTAATACAATGGAAGGGAAAAAATGCTGATAAAAAAAACATTAAAGCCACGAATAAAACTTATTACAAGTCATTGAATACTTTATACTTTAATAATTAACCATTCCCATATTTTTTAATAACCATAAGTGATTTTATTGAAAATTAAATATATTTTTAAAATAAATATTTAATTAAAATTTTTGTTTCGGGATAATGTAATGTTTCATTGATTTACTGAATTATCTTTGATTTTATATATATACTTTTTCCTTCAATTTGATGGAAACAATTACCAATTTTGATTTCAAAGGAAAACTTATGTGATTTTAAAATAAATTATTGTGTATCTTAGATTTTTTTGTACTATTTAAAAAAAAGACACTAAGATAAACTACATATTGTGATGACACTATAAAATATTAAAAACAACGATTTTAATGATTCATTTAACAAAATAAAGAAAAATAATTACATAGAAATTTAAGAAATTAATAAAAATTAATATACATTTATGTATAGATGTCATTGCATATATAGTATATTGTAACTATGCTTATTTTAAAATCTAGATAATCTCTATGTAAGAGAATTCATTAATAGATTATATTGTTTAACTAATAATAGATTTTTAATTAGTAACTAAAAATAAAAATTTTAATTAAAAACTAGTTCTTATACACTTATAATTACTTGAAAACATTTTACTGTACTATATCCAGTGAAGTTAATTTAGATCTATCTCATTTAATTTAGTTACAATATAAACGAATTCTTATCGAAATTATTCTCAGGTAATTATTACACACTAAATTGAAATTCATTAATAATAAATAATAATAGCTCTTCAGAGTTCTAGCCACTTATGTTTTTGAAGCCCCCAGTATATTAAAAAAAACTAGAACAATGTTCAAAAATTGTATTTTTTAAAAATAAAATATGAAACAATACAGTTTTTTTCCCCTTAATACACAAGAAATACAATGGAATGAATAATTCACAATAAATGTTTTTGTAGTCAGGTAAATGTGAGGCAGAACCAAATGTCTCCTCTGGCCTTCCCTTTAATAGGGCCTGATTATTACTATGGGAAATGCCTGGAATTTAATAGTAAAAAAAAATACAACAGGGCAAGTTAAAAAAAATTCATTTAGAACAGTGTTTCTCAACGGGGGCGATATCGCTCCCATGTGGGCGTTTTTCCATGTTCAGGGGGCGATTAGCAACAATTTATATTTTGGGGGCGAAAAACAATTTTCTGGGCTATATAGTAAAACATTATATTAAGAATAATTAGATAATTTATTCGTTATATCGTACAATAATTAAACGAATAATATTATACTAGTCACTATTCTATTCAATGCAGTACGAATTTGGCGTTAGCCTTGTCCCTCGGCATCGGAATTTTGTAGTGAAGGGGGCGATACTACGTCGAAAGGGGCGACGGTTCGTTAGAGGTTGAGAAACACTGATTTAGAAACTCGAGAGACTCAATCATAAGTTTGAAATCAGCAGGCCATTCATGTAATCAATCTTCATTAATAATCTAAATTCAATATCACAGATAAGATATTTATATATTTAAAATAATTTTGTTTGTCTCAATACTGTAAAATATAAAAATATTAAGGAAAAAAGGAATTTAAAAACATCCAATGTGTAAAGAATTAGATAAGAATACAATATTAGTTTTATTACTGTATTATTTAATGCATTAGAAAAATTCTTTCGTTCAACTCAAATATTTACAGCAATAATAAAACGTCTCAATAAGTTCAAATAATGGATAGGATTACAACCGGAGTACGTTTCCTTGAAAAGAAAAATAAATCTAATTCAGAAAAAAGACAGACTTATATAAAAGTAGTAAGATTTTATTACAGCATATTATACAAATTTTTATATGAATTTAATATTTGAAATTTTAATAAAACAAGAGTTGATTAAACATTTAGAAGGAAAAATTGATTTTAAAAATCTAAAAATAAATGGAAAAACTAAAAAATTTAAAAGTAAAAGTATATATTTAGTTTATATTTTCCTTCTAACTCTTCAATTTTTAATTAAATAAATTAATATAAATCTTTCTTTACCCAAATGATATAAAATTTATCCTTTATTGGAATTATTATTATTAATTAATAATAATAATCGCATGCTTCAAAAAAAACTCTTCAAATTAATAAACTGATACATTATTGTTAATATAAAACATGTTGATTTGAATTATACAAAGTTATCATTCTGGAGTTCATTTATCATCATATAATTTTAGATGTATATTATTACTGTAAATTACTTATTTGTCTGTTCCAATTGTTACAGATAAATCATTTATATCATTACACAGCTGTAACATTATATCTGAAGAAATATTTTATTTATTTATCTTACTTATTTATAGAATGATTCATACTGAAAATTTAATGCAAAATTACCACAGTTGCTGTCAATAAAATAATTTATTGTCGTCGTCTCTGTGGATTAATTACAGATTTTATTTTCCAGTTTCGTTCTTCACAATAAAATTATTTGAAGTTTTATACTAATAAAAACTGGAGTATTTTAATATTAATCGTATACATAAAATAAAATACGCTTTCATCAAAGAACTGAAATGAAAAGAGATGCTATAAAAATAGATTTTAATATAAAATATTGGAGAAATCATTTATTTTCGATTGAGTAAAACTTCATTTTTTTTAATAAATAAACTAAGCTGTTATCTATATATTAGAATCTATATTTAGACACGTATACGCAACAGAATATAAATATTCATGAAAACGACTGATTGATTGAGAAAAGTGATTCGTAAAGAATTTTTCTAAATCTGTATAAGAAAGTGTATCTTTATTACACTGGTGGTTAGATATAACTTACTTCGATAGAATGCGGATAGATGTGGACCCAACTTTTCGTCCAACTCTTCAGATCCTGCTGCTTTTATTTTATCTTATTGGCAGTTAAGCTGACATTAAGAGCACCGTTGAAAATCAATTGGCTCAATTTCCATTATTTTTCCGAATGTATGTACTGTACAGTACCTACTCTGTACTTGCCACTGAGTAAATATTAAACGAAAAAGTCGGAACAGGTTAATAAAGAAATATGTTATAGCGAATTACCTGTTACTGATGAGTTATCAATTCGAAATTATTGCACGTTTTCCCAGAAAATTATTTGACAGAATTAGTTCAGGTAAAATATCGCATTGTAATTAAGTAAGGCATAAAAATTTATTAATTATCATAAATTATTATTTAGTAAATGGGTCAAGTTATAGTTTTGTAACGCATTCTTATCTCAAATAAGGAAATAGGTCTAATTATCATTAACGCTTTTTCTTCTGTATAATGACTATTTTATATCCTATTTAAAGGCCCGTATATAAAATATAAGAAAGAATAAGTCAAAAATACAATATCTGTGACATTTTAAAAATATTTTATACTGAGATCTGTTATCAAATATATCTTAAAAGGGTGCACTGAGATTCAAATTAAACGAAAACAAGAATTTAGAAAACAACAAAAGATGAGGTCATTTCCTGTCTTGTTAACAGAGTAACGCCTCTTTCAATGTATTATGAAACTAAAACCTGTAAGCTCACGAATATATCATTAGATGAATAATGTAATTATAATTTTGATTAAATTCTTTTTAGCAAGTTATTTCGAAATTTATTTTGTTTACGTTTTAATTTACATATCTTTAGTATATATATATCGTACAATAATTAAACGAATAATATTATACTAGTCACTATTCTATTCAATGCAGTACGAATTTGGCGTTAGCCTTGTCCCTCGGCATCGGAATTTTGTAGTGAAGGGGGCGATACTACGTCGAAAGGGGCGACGGTTCGTTAGAGGTTGAGAAACACTGATTTAGAAACTCGAGAGACTCAATCATAAGTTTGAAATCAGCAGGCCATTCATGTAATCAATCTTCATTAATAATCTAAATTCAATATCACAGATAAGATATTTATATATTTAAAATAATTTTGTTTGTCTCAATACTGTAAAATATAAAAATATTAAGGAAAAAAGGAATTTAAAAACATCCAATGTGTAAAGAATTAGATAAGAATACAATATTAGTTTTATTACTGTATTATTTAATGCATTAGAAAAATTCTTTCGTTCAACTCAAATATTTACAGCAATAATAAAACGTCTCAATAAGTTCAAATAATGGATAGGATTACAACCGGAGTACGTTTCCTTGAAAAGAAAAATAAATCTAATTCAGAAAAAAGACAGACTTATATAAAAGTAGTAAGATTTTATTACAGCATATTATACAAAAAACTTTAAAATCCACAAACAAACTATAGAACAATAAGTCGAATTCACACTT